GGGGTGCAACGACCTGATAGCAGTGGACAAATTGGTAGAACTAGAACATAATAAAAAATATACAGAATACACTTTTGTTACAACCACCAACAAATCGGAAGCACGTGGATGAGATGTTAATTCTCTTTTTGCTCATCTACAGATAACGTGAAATAGACAGATCATATTGGTCGAATAAAAGGGGGAGGGGCCGGTAAGAGAAGGAGATAGAGGTAAGAGAGAGGTTGTATTTACAGAAAAAAAGGAGTGTGATTTTAAAATGGATAAAAGAAGCTTCCACATTATTACGGTTCATTGAATAATATTAAGCTGCCGAGATGGTTTCTGTTGTTGGGTACCATAACTGAAAAGATATAAGTCATCCAATCTTGATACTCATAAAGGGATAGTATAATAATGCAGTGGGATTGTGGGGAAGGGGGGGGGGGGGTAAAAGCGGAAGATAAAATTGAAAATTAATTTTTTAATAGAATCAAATGAGGGCATGTGAATATAGCAAGGCATATTACAACAACTCTTCTGAATTCAAAATTTACATTTGATTTTGATTTACTAGTTATTCAAGTAATTTACGCAGTTCCCCCCTTATAGATTTAGAACTATTATTTGAAAATGAGAAACGGTAGCAAGAAGCAATAGTGCAGACCACACCAAGTCCAAACAATCATCAACGACTGTGACGGGAAAGCTGTCACCTGAACATGGCGAACATCAGGGTATAGAAGACGAGGCGTGTGATGAGCAGGAACTGGACCACGAGAACGTAGCCGGCCCACGAGTGGTATGGACAGGTCGACAGTCGGGATAACATGTAGGCTGAAGAAGACATTATCACCTGTCATATTATGTTTTATGTTATAGAATAGCAAGTCCGTTCCTTATTTTTGTGTTGGTGCAATGGTGTAACAGATAATATTATTATTATCTGTTACATCTCGTAGCGCAGTCTCCTAATATTTTTATTGAGTTAATTTTCTTTGCATAGTAAATTTCTGTTATTAGATCTGAGTATATACAATATTTCTATAATTATATCTATCTATCTATCTATCTATCTATCTATCTATCTATCCACCTATCTATCTATCTATCTATCTATCTGTTTATCTATCTATCTATCTATCTATCTATCTATCTATCTATCTATCTATCTATCTATCTGCGCTACGAGATGTAACAGATAATAATAATATTATCTGTTACACCATTGCACCAACAATCTATCTATCTATCTATCTATCTATCCATAGATCATGTATATCCAACTATACAATATTACTAGTATTATCATTAATATAAATATAAATATATAAAATATCACTTTCATTATATTATGAAAGCGGTTATTTGCTTTCTCACCACACAAATACCCCACACATGACCACAAACACACACGAACTCGTCTAAGTCCAAATATGCAATAATCATATCCATACATATATGTGATACTATACAAATGAATAAAAATGAACTGAATAATTTATCAAATTACTTATTCAAGTTGTACGAGAGATTACGTTTTTTTTTGCGGAGAGATCTACGACATCTTCTATTTCAGGTACGTTTTATCACGATAAAGAGGGCAGAGAAAATACTCACGTTGTACAGTGCTAGCTGCGGGAGAGACGAAATATACGTTATTGACACTTACTTATACATATCTTCACAAACTTGTGTCGTGTCGTGTATGGATTTGTATAAGATAAGACAAAATTATACAAGATTGATAGATAGATAGATAGATAGATAGATAGATATACGACTAAATTAAGTATTAGACAATGTTGATAAAATCACTATCCATAGCCTGCCACCCTGAATGATAATTTGCATTGTTTTCTACAAGACAAGTTAATAAATACGTTTTCCGTGGAAGTTTTTTTTTTTTAACAACTTATCAAAAAGCTCTGAGTAGTTAGTGACTTACCGTTACAAGTATGCGCTACCTCTGGGAAGCTGTAAATTTTTGTGCATGCAGGATTCCCTATGGAAATAAAGGAAAAGTCAAGCATTTTACACTGACCCTGACTATGTAAGTGGAGTCGATCGAATGATTCAAAGTTGGGATGAATGACAAATTAACCTAAAGCATATTATTTGGAACTGTAATAGTAACTGAAAAAACAGAGACAACAATAAGCTATTGATCTTAATACGATTATTTTAAAAATGAAATAAAACTTTATTGATCTAAGAAGGGTAATTTTGTTTATAATGGCAAACATACATTATACAATAGGCTTATATAATTACATTATTATAAATACATACACACATAAATACATACATACGTTGGCTTACATCATTACATAATTTTAAATACATACATATAAATACACACTATTTCACCAGTACAGAACAATTTCACAACCAGACCATTGCTGGTCGCCACTGTGCAGCCTGTTAGAAAACCAGTTCGCCCAGAAAATCTTCATCTAGCTAATGCTAAATGTAGCTGTTCTGTCAATGATCAAGCCTGTAAGTAACACGTATTGCTCGGACATTTTCTGCTGTTGGGGAAAACTGGCCTGCATCCAGCACTATACGTGTCTTTCTAGCATTCTAATAATTTTTATTAGAATTTTGACGATAAATCGATAAATCGATAAATGTAACATCTGAAATAGCATTATTTCTAGCGAAGGGACAGTTTGTAAGTGATTACAAGAAGTGAGCTATCGGTTCATGAAAGTAGAGGGTGTTGAATTAAGATGTGACAGGAAGACAATTAATGCAAAAGGTAGAAAAGAAGAAGAACCAAAGAAGAACCAGCAAAACACACACAAACACACATGAACACATGTCTGTAATCGGCAAAAAGATTAAGTACTGATAACATACCCCTCCCCCCTCACACACACACAAAATTGTTTTTAAAATTTAACTAACTTACCCTTAAGGTCGTTGACTTCGGTCAGGAAGATGCCCAATGCCCCCCTGAGCACGGCTTTTTTTAGCACGGTGAGAGAGAAGGGTTGAGCTGGGTAGGTGGCCGCGGTGATAGCCAGGCCGCTGGACAGAAGGCACATCGACCACAGTCGCAACCAGTTGATCATGTCTTTTCGGCTCTGATTCAAGGTAAAAGTAATATTAAAAGCCCTTAGCCGTATCCGAGAAAGGAGATCCTGGGGTAATTTACAGGGTTTTTTCAGTTTTGTTTCTTCTGTCTTAAGACAAGTTTCGTATACTGTATCTGCTTTGAAACCAACGTACCAGTTTTCTAGATTTGAAGTCTTTACGCAAGGAATTACAAAATCATATTTCGAATACTTTGGTGGTAGTTGAGGTTACTGGTTGTTTTGCCGCCGTTACCGTGTTTTACCCTTTTGTTGTATAAACCCCATCCGCATAATGACACGTATTTGATAACGTGCATAGCTTGGCTGTACTTTGATGTCAATGACCCCTAAAAATAGAACACTCTGACAGGAAATGAATAAGACAAAAAAAAACAACTTAGAAAACATGCAGAAAAGGCGGGCCTCTCAAGGGCGCCAACAAACAGCTTCTATACGAAAATGAGAAAAATAGTTGTTCACCAGGTGGTCCTTATTAAAAGCTAATCAGCCAAGTGAAATAACGACGAGAGTTTGTCAGCACTTCGAAAATGATAATAAATGATAATTGTTTACGTCCATATCTCGAAAAGTTTGCCCCCTGTTTTCTTTTATTATCATTAATGTCCATAGCTTGTTATCTTGACATTCTTCACAAGATGACTTACCAGAGTTGTAATGTTGACTAGCATTGGTCCCAGGTCTGAACTGACAGGCAGCAGGTAACTCAAGGCACGATAATAGAAGAAAATCATGCCAAGGGCGAGGAGAAACTTGAGAGTCATGAAGCTCAGCATGGGAATCCAGGACGGCAGGTACAGGTGGGATTGTATGGCGGTCAGTAGAAAGAACAGACTGACCAGCACTTCCATCAGAATGTCCAGCATTGGCCAGAAAAGACCCATCGTTGGGAATTTCTGTTGAAGAGGAGGAGACCGGAAGAAAGCGGCTAGACTGTGTACTTTCATTATTACATATATATAATGTGTGTGTGTGTGTGTGTGTGTGTGTGTGTGTGTGTGTGTGTGTGTGTGTGTGTGTGTGTGTGTACATATACATATTTCTGTTGGATCATTTCAACAGGCACACAGAACAAGTAATTTGAAAGGCAGTGCCCTCCTCCCCTTCACACACACACACACACACACACACACACACACACACACACACACATACACACAAACACACACTTTCACAAACTCATACACACGCGCATAGACATACACATACATATACACGTTCACATACACACACATACACATACACACACACATGCACATACACACACATACACATACACATACACATGCACATACACACACTTCACATTCACACATACATACTTATACACATACAAATGCTATAAATGAAGGAAGAAGTATTCCTACATCGTTTATTCTACTTTCAATATAAGTGTCGCGGGGGAAAGGGGGGGGGGGTAGGAGAGTGAGGGATTCACTATGATCTCATGACTACCCTTCAACATCTTGTACAGTAAATCGGATTTTAACCTTTGAAACCAACACTCAATGCTAGCTGAGTAAACTAAGTTAATTAAGTCCAAATTAGATTGCTTTCTGGATACATCACTAACTTATGTAATTAATTTCTAGTTTTAATCCTGTTATTCTTAAGGTTTTCAAATAATAATAATAATAATAATAATAATAATAATAATAATAATAATAATAATAATAATAATAATAATAATATACATTTATATAGCGCATTTCCAAAAAAGTAGCTCAATGTGCTTTACATTGGAATACCCACTTTTCAAAAACCTTTCTTACTACTTCCTTTCTTCTCATGCAATATACATTAATGCACACACACACACACACACACACACACACACACACACACACACACACACACACACACAAATACACACACACACGCACACATACACATACATATACAGATACACATACATACACATACACACGTATACACATACACATACACATGCACATACACACACTTCACATTCACACATACATACTTATACACATACAAATGCTATAAATGAAGGAAGAAGTATTCCTACATCGTTTATTCTACTTCCAATATAAGTGTCCCGGGGGAGGGGGGGGGGGGGTAGGAGAGTGAGGGATTCACTATGATCTCATGACTGCCCTTCAAACTCTTGTACAGTAAATCGAATTTGAACCTTTGAAACCAACACTCATTGCTAGCTGAGTAAACTAAGTTAATTAAGTCCAAATTAGATTGCCTTCTGGATACATCACTAACTTATGTAATTAATTCCTAGTTTTAATCCTGTAACTCCTAAGGTTTTCAAATGGCTTTCATAACAGACAACCTTTCACTATTTTGCAAACTGAAAGTCATTAATCTATGTAATGTTTAATTTTTTTGTTATATTTTGTAGTATCGATTTTAGTTTAATTGTTTTTTTGTTTCACTTGTTCTTGGTTGATTTGTGTGTGTGGGGGGGGGGGGTTGTCTGCATGTGTATTGTGTGTGTGTGTGTGTGTGTGTGTGTGTGTGTGTGTGTGTGTGTGTGTGTGTGTGTGTGTGTTTGGGGGGGGGGGCAGTATTATATTCTTTTGTAATTCAGTCTTAGACATGTAAAATTGTGGTGGCATCCCCTAGAAAGACACTAAGAATGAAAGAAAAGAGGAAATGACGAAAGACAGAAAGAAAGAATGAAAGAATGAAAGAAAGAAAGAAAGATAAAAAGCTAGAAAGAAAGAAAGATAGAAAAAAGAAAGGAAGAAAGAAAAAAAAAGAAACAGAGAATTGAAAGAAGGAATCAAAGCATGAATGAATGAATGAATGAACGAATCGAGGATGGAAAAGAGGAAGGAAGAAAGGAACGAACGTATGAAAGAACGAACGAACGACCGAATGAAGAAAGTAAAGACGGAATACTGTTCAATTCCTTGTCACAAATTATTAAGTCTGGCATGCCTACCTTCTTCCCACTGATGGTCCGCTGCACGTGCTCCATGCATATGACCATGGTCCAGACAAAGAGAAGGTCGGTGAGCACACGATGACCACAGTATGGCAGGAGAAGCCAGTAGGCGTAGAGCACCAGGTAGCTCAGGAAGAAATACTGGTCAGTCGTTCCGTGAGTAATAATTGGAGAAAAAAAAACTGTAATGATTGGATTTGCTTTAAAAAGCGGTTGGTGGGGAGGTGGGGGGAGTGTGCAGAAAAAGTGGCGTGGAAGAGAATGATGACCTGATGCCATTTATTTATTTATTTATTTATTTATTTATTTATTTATTTATTTATTTATTTATTCATTTATTCATTTAATATTTTTCATAGAAAAAAATTCTTTCTTTCTTTTTTTAAAAATCTTAATCTTCTTATATACTTTTATTTATTTATTTATTTATGTATATATTTATCTATTTATTTATTTACCTATTTATTCATTTATTCATTGATACATTCGCCCTTTTACAATTCTACTGTGCATAAGCACTTGACTGCCCTGGTTGGAAAAAAGGGGGGGGGGGTAATCCAATTTCACGCATGGTATATCTTGTAAAGCAAAGTAGATTATAATCTGTGACAGTTCTCTTCAACAAATTCAGACACCCAGAGGGACGTTGGCTTTCAGATTTAGTTAAACGTTTTAATTGACAATTTCTCATTCAAAGTGTGAGGTCTTTGTTGTCTCAGTGACGTAGGGTACGTTATGGCCAATCTCCAAACGGGAACTCCCCTTTTGGTCTTTGATTAAAGTGAGTAACAGAGTAATCGCTGCCTTGTTGGACAAATTTAACGGGTCTTCTTTTCAAGTTCATGGGCATCTCCTCTTTGTTCATGAAGATAATTAGGTTGTTTGACTTCCCCATTAGTTGAAGAGTCCAGCTGTGTCAGAACGTAATCATAGCCTTATCATAGATTGCCAGTGAGCTTTTGTGGACAAGGAACTACTTTAACTGGATAAAGAATTTAAAGTCGTAACGTTGCCAGGCGTAGGTGTATGGATTTTCTTATTTGTTGTGTTGTTAATAAGTATAAAGGAAATGCGTATTTTGAAAACACTATGCAAGATCAAAATGTGTTTTGAAGCGGTATTGCCTTTTCTTTCCTTTAGAGAAGTTTGATAAAAAGGATTTTACAGAAACACAAAGGTTGATCCTCAACTCAAAATCTTACTGTGTGCTCAACCAGTCGTTGACACATTATTTTTTTTTGGCACAGAGAAAACGGCTAAAAATGATATGTTTTTTGTTATGGCGAAAGGTGTGTCATCCAGCCAGTTTTTATCAAACTTCTCTAAAGGAAAGAAAAGGCAATACCGCTTCAAAAGACATTTTGATCTTGCATAGTGTTTTCAAAATACGCATTTCCTTTATACTTATAAACAACACAACAAATTAGAAAATCCATACACTTAAGCCCACCCTCGCTTGTTTCAGCCTTACAACGTTACGACTTTAAATTCTTTATCCAGTTAGAGTAGTTCCTTGTCCACAAAAGCTCACTGGCAATCTATGATAAGGCTATGATTACCGTCTGACACAGCTGGACTCTTCAACTAATAGGGAAGTCAAACAACCTAATTATCTTCTTGAACAATGAGGAGGTGCCCATGAAGTTGAAAAGAAGACCCGTTAAATTTGTCCAACAAGGCAGCGATTACTCTGTTACTCACTTTAATCAAAGACAAAAGGGGAGTTCCCGTTTGGAGATTGGCCATAACGTACCCTACGTCACTGAGACAACAAAGACCTCACACTTTGAATGAGAAATTGTCAATTAAAACGTTTAACTAAATCTGAAAGCCAACGTCCCTTTGGGTCTCTGAATTTGTTGAAGAGAACTGTCACAGATTATAATCTACTTTGCTTTACAAGATATATCATGCGTGAAATTGGATATCCCCCCCCCCCTTTTTTTTACAACCAGGGCAGTCAAGTGCTTATGCACAGTAGAATTGTAAAAGGGCGAATGTATTAATGTCATGCTCATACTGTGCCGAAACAACATAGGGTAAACTGCTGCTTTTTCTTTCTTCATCCTTACAATCGTCATGTTTTTCCTCTTCTTCTTTTGTATGTTTGTCACTCTCTTGTGAACTGCCATTTCCTGGGTGCCTTGATAGTCGAAGCAGACGTTGTGCTGTTGAGGCTAGAAAGTGAGCAGACTTCGCTGTTGACATCCAACCCTTGGCGCTCTTAATACCTTTGTATTATGTAATTGCGAGTGCCGTAAAACTTTACTTTAATAAAAAAAAATATAAAAAATTTAAAAAAGAACCACGGAAGCTCACCTGCGACAACCAAAATTTGGTGATCGGGGCCGTCCACAAGTAGTAAACCTTCTTCCACAGAGGCGGTCGGGCATATGGGTCTACGTGTGGAGATACGCTCTGTACATGTACAGCGTTGGGCTGGAAAAGGGGAGGGGGTGGCGCAGAAAAGATGAGTTTGTAAATGAGTCAGGTGTGTGTGTATGGGTGTGTGTGTGTTTGCGTGTGTTTGCGTGTGTGTGTATGTATGTGTGAGTGCGTGTGTGTGTGTGTGTGTGTGTGTGTGTGTGTGTGTGTGTGTGTGTGTGTGTGTGTGTGTGTGTGTGTGTGTGTGGCCTGCGGATAGGGGGGGGGGGGGGGTGGCTGCTGCCGTATTCTCTACGACGGGTCAAGCGTGGGGCATGCTCGCTTGGAGTCCACTATAACCTAAAAAATTTACAGTGTTCAACGTCTTAAGCTTTACCAATACGAGTCGAATTAACTAAAATATGTACATATAATAATTATTTTCTTGTGCAAAAATTTCAAAAATTTAGGACAAAAAGCTGACCTGTAAACTATTTGGCAGAAAGAAAACAGGCATTATTTGTGTAAAACTGTTCTTGATAGTAGGAGGCGGAAGTCCCGAATTCCTCTTGACAACCCCACCCCCTTGCTTGCTCTCTCTCTCTCTCTCTCTCTCTCTCTCTCTCTCTCTCTCTCTCTCTCTCTCACTCTCTCTCCCTCTCTCTCTCTCTGTAAATATTATATATATATATATATATATATATATATATATATATATATATATATATATATATATATATATATATATATACATATATACTAGTATAAGCTTTACACCAATCACACAAGAGAATATATTTCACTGGCTCAAGGAAAACCAGTTCAACCACATAAAGAAGAACTTTTACAACCATTCAAAAATCAATTCGGTACACGAAAGGATAGCAGTAAAAAACAAGACACATCAGCATTTACTAACACACTGTACAACTATGAATTAAACGAATGAGTCTTGAGCAATCGCTTATATGTATCAAAATCTGATATTTCTCAGAGATTAGGGTAGAAACATTTTAAGACTCGACAGTTAGTATATGAAAAATATACTTTATCACATTAAACCTTCTCTTTTAGAACACTAATGACGAACAACAATGGCTCACAGAAATCATGAAATATACTTTTTTTAAAATAAATACCGTTTTTAAGGAAACGATGGATCGGTGTTCCGTTTCAGAATTGGAGCTGTTATTGTTCTTTGTCATCTCAGCTTCCCTTCCATCATCATTGTTGCCTGTACTGTCATCCTCATTACCATCGTCGTCATCGTCTCCTAGAGCCCATAAATAATTAGAGATTCATTAAACATTTGCTACAAATGGAATATATGAAGAATAGCAATGAAGGCTTAACATGATGCAGCGATGTACGTCCACCGAGAATCGGGGAGGGGGGTGTAAATGTTTCCTTTAAATCAACACGCTGACCAAGAAAGTTATATACTGACGTCGTGCTTGGCGTCTAGGGAAGACATGAGAATAAATTATATAAATATTCTAATAAAACATACTTTTTCAAAGATAGTGGTACATACGTCGAGAGGTAGCGAGAGACAGACAGACAGACAGACAGACAGACAGACAGACAGACAGACAGACAGACAGACAGACAGACAAACAGACAGAGAGAAAGAGAGAGAGCGGAGAGAAAGAGTGAGAGACACAGAGAGAGAGAGAGAGAGAGAGAGAGAGAGAGAGAGAGAGAGAGAGAGAGAGAGAGAGAGAGAGAGAGGTTTGCTTTCTTCATTGAATATAAAAATATGCAACTGATTTAATTAAACAATTGAGCAATCATGTAAACCTTTTTTTAATAATTAACAACCATTTAAACCTGTTCAATCAAAATAGAAAACCCTTTGGCAATCGGATTAACAAATGTATTTTTGGGATCATGGGGTTGATTCGGGAGATACAGTTCTTGCAAATTAGCGTTTGATCTACAGGTAATTAAACCGTCATCTAGCATATCTATCTTCACTCTGATTTGCAGGAATTGAATTACCCGTAACTTGTCCATGATCCCAAAATATACATTTGATAACCCACCTATTTTCTTAAAAGAAGGTCTATGAAACATCATCGCAACCGACCTTGCCAGCTGGACCCTTGCTACAAACAGCTTTATTGTGTCCCGAGGGATACAGCCGAAATAAAATGAAAAAAAAATGACTTAAAAAAACAAGAACCTTTTAAATAAACCGAAAGAATCTCCCTGCTGTACAGCGTACTGAACACGCTTTGGCACTCATTAGAATAGCCAGACAGTTGTCAAAAACAAGAGTACGCCTTTTGCGTTTACGACCAACTTTATGATACCAAACTAAGGCAGTCTGACCCTCAGAAACTTTTTGCCACGGTGCTCTGGAATTGGGCATTACTTTAGACTTAAAGGTTCAAAGAAAAATTCTGTGAGGGGTGTTAAAAGATTGTAGATACAGGTACGATGTGCTTCTGTTACAGAAAAGTATTCAATTTTATTCAATCTAATAATCCTGGTTGGGACAAGCGCAGTTAGAAGCCATAAGAAAGGGTTGTGGCCGAGGGTACGATCTAGGGCTGTAGTGGCGACGAAGTCAGTGAACTTCGTTGTGTGAGAAGGTTGTTATGTCTCTTATTCTTGCAACTTAGTTAGCCTTCTTCCACTCTTGCATTTCTTCACTACCACATTACAGAACAAAAGACTAAAACAAGCACGTTTCAAGTTTAACAGTAGGCTCTATCGTTGGAAGCAAAGTGACAAAGGTGTGGCTTATTAGGGAACGTTCATAATTGTTTTTAAGTAACTGCCTTACCGATATTTGCTTTCACGTTAGCCATGGCTTTGTCGAAGTTCAACCAGAAGTAGATAGGAAACACCAGAAAGAGACAGCAAAATATCTGCGGAATTATGCAAAGTGATTGTACGTTGATAGTCTGATGTGTTTTGTTGTTTTCATCATAATTAATAGGCAATCAAACCTCTAATACCGTATTTTCGAAAATTATTCATTCTGGTCACACCCACTATCCTCGAGCCACCTCGTTCAGATCTTTTCGATAAGGAAACTGGAGTAACCCCCTTGCCACTGTGATAGATATGAAATCCGTAAAATGTCATTACACTGACTACTGTGGAACTTGGGTATACTGATCAATGAATTAAATGCATATTCTCAAATAATCAAACTAAAGTAGTTACTGATCAATAACACTGCATTCAACATTGAACATGCTCATCGTGGTTATGTTACGAGGGTTATTATAAAACAACATTTTTCGGCTTGAGTTAACGCAAGCTTTTTTTCATTTGATTTTTATTGGAACAATTATAATTGGTCATTTCATAGCTTATACTTGTGTTTAGCTACGTATCCGAAAGGAAAGGTTAAAAGGACTAGTTAAGAGGAAACAGAGCCTTAAAGGGTCGATTTCCAGTCAGTGAGACGCCCAACCGAGCTGAATAGTCAGGACTGTTTACTTTGTCCGAGAGATCGCACATAGAAAGGAGATGAGAGAGGAAAAGGGTAAGAAAGTGCTTTCGTGCGAGCACGAGAAAGAGAGGGGGGACGGAGAACGAGTGAGAGGGATGAGAGAATGAGAGTAAGATAGAGAGATAGAGAGAGAAAGAGAAAGATAGAGAAAGAGAGAGAGAGTGAGTGTGTGTGAGAGAGAGAGAGAGTGAGTAAGAGAGAGAAGAGATAGAGAGAGAGAGAGAGCGAGAGCGAGAGAGAGAGAGAGAGAGAGAGAGAGAGAGACTGAGAGAGAGTTAGTAAGAAAGGGAGCAAGAGAATGAGAAAGACAGACAAACAGATAGGCACAGAGAGAGAGAGAGAGAGAGAAAGGAAGAGAGAGGGGGGAGCGAGAGGGAAGGGAAAATGAGAGAAAGAGAGAGAGAAGGGGGAAGAAAGAAGGAGAGGGGGAAGAGAAAGAGAAAGAGAGAGAGAGGGAGAGAGAGAGAGAGAGAGAGAGAGAGAGAGATCGTGTGTGTGAGAGAGAGAGGGGAGTAAGAGAGAGAGAGAGAGAGCTAGACAGACAGACAGACAAACAGACAGACAGGCAGACAGATAGACAGAGACAGACAGACAGACAAACAGACAGACAGGCAGACAGATAGACAGACAGAGACAGAGAGAGAGAGAGAGAGAGAGGGGGGGGGGAGAGGGGGGAGAGATAGAGAGAACAGGGTAAAGAAATGAGGCCGGCAAAAAGAGGGGGGAGATGGACTGACACTAAGTGAATGGAATGGAGAAAAAGCAGATGCCGACAGAGAAGTAGAAAATAATTGACATGCATGCAGACGGAGTATGAATTTAAGGCATTTTAAAATATGTTACTTTTCTTGACATCTAATGTGTGGGTGGACATAGGACAAGACTTTGGACCCAAAGCAATAATCCTGAAAAAAATTTGCTTCCCGATTATTTGAGGAGCTTTGCCAACATTTTCAAAAGATAGGTGACTGAGAGTAAGGGAAACAGACAAGAAAACTTGAGGAAAATATGTATAAAGAAACATGCAGACAGCAAGACAAAGAAGAAGAGAGTAAAAAGGAATATTAAATTCTAAAAGGAATAAGAACAATATTACTCTTGAAAATAAAAAGGATAAAGAAACTATAAACATCAAAGGTGCACAATAGACTTGAAAAGAGATGGAGACGTAAAACAAAAAATAGAAAAGAAAAAACTAAAAAAAAGTGGGGAATAAAGAAAGAAAGAAAAGAAGAAAGAAAGAAAAAGAATAGTGCAATGGAATAAAATGAGAACGAGGAGAGAGAGAGAGAGAGAGAGAGAGAGAGAGAGAGAGAGAGAGAGAGAGAGAGAAAGAGAGAGAGAGAAAGAGAGAGAGAGAGAGAGAGAGAGAGAGAGAGAGAGAGAGAGAGAAAGGGAAAGAGAGAGGGGAAAGGGAAAAGAAAAGAGAGAGAGGAAGTTTAGGAGATGGGGATCACAGAGAGAGAGAGAGAGGGGGGGGGGGATACGTTTTTATCCCAAACATGTATTATATTGCAAAACTCATAACAGTAGTGTTTAAAAGTGGTACTCAAGATTATAATTAACAGGAGTAAGCGACTGCCCCTGCTGCTTGGACCATTTCCTTCGTATTTGCTATCAAATCTCCTAACCCAAGGTGGTGGACATTTGAGCTGGCTCATTATGAGCTAAAAGCTGCCAAGAATTCAGTATCTCGCTTTCTAGCTCATTCTTTTCTCAACGCGCCACAGAACAGGAAACTGCAAAAGTCAGCTCACTTTCATATTACTCAGAAGCCCTACAGCCCATGTAACTTGCAACATTACTTTTATAAATTTACTAAGGGGCTTCAAACCCATATAACTTAAAACGTATTTTCATATACTCAACAGCCTAAAAGCCCATGTAACTTACAACTTACTTTCATACACGCAGTAGCCTCATGTCAGAGCCCATGTAACATACAACTTACTTTTATATACTCAGTTGACTCGGAACCCATGTAACTTACAACTTACTTTCAAATACTCAGGAGCCTCAAAGCCCATGTTCCCAAAAGATTTGATCTTGATCATGCCCAGCCACCTTTCTCTGACCGCTCTCTGACAGCACGGGTGAGCGATGAAGAACTTGTTGTTACCGATCAGGGCTAAGTCGACGACTGTGAGACCGTTGAAATCTTCCACGGGCGAGATAAGAGAGCGGAAGGCGAACACGCCAGAGTCCGCGTAAATCATGTCCATCACCTCGATCGCCAGCTGGCCAAAGTCACTGTTTGATAGACATAATATGCAAGTCGTAGGTCCTACGAGCTCGCAAGTTTTATGTGAAGGAAGGAGAAGTGTCAGAATTCTAGTTACATAACACATTATACTGAACTATGTTATGTGAATTCTGCTGTGGCAAACATAACACTTGTAAAAAAAATGAAGTTTTAATTCAGATCTTTCTTTTCGTAAAATAATTTTGGGTGACAACATGACACTCACAGTAGCGCGTTACTAGTGGCAAACAGTAATTTGTTGCAACCTAGACCAAAGCTGCGTGACGTATCTATTTCTAAAAGGCAAGACTATACTGATTTGACAGATTGAATTCACTGAAAACCTTCTGACTTGAAAATCTCATTAAAATAAATGTTGATATAAGTCCACAAGCACACTAGTATAGGAAAATGGCCGCTAGTTGCACGGCTGGGAGTATGCAAATTGGGCAATTTTCACCATTTCGTCTCTCTTCCCCGCAAAGTGACGACAAGCAGCGCTGCGACAAGTGGAAATTTTCCTGGTATGCGATGGGCCTTAGCAACACAAAAACCAATTTGTATTTTGAGCTTACCCGGCAAAACTCACAAGAGCACGTCTAAGTCAGTTGTGATCAGCACCTTGCCAGTTCTTATTTAATCACTCCACAATAGGGTAGTTGAGACTCACATCGCTGCCTGCTTGATCCGGATCTGCAAGTCCAGGTCTGAGATGTAAATCTTTGAGAGACGATAGTAGATATTGGAGATGACCAGGGCGACCGCCAACGGCTCTGAGGTTCGCTGCCACAGTTTCTTCGCCAGAGCTTGCTTATTGGTCAAGACTGACCAAAAGAGAAGCTCCAATAGAGCCTGAAGACAAAAAAGGCAATATGGTACAGGTCACTCATACAGTATACATACCATGTATGTATTAACCATAAATGATTTATGCTCCTTTAGACAGATATTAGATCATTCAGAAGTTGGGCCGCTTCGAAATGCCAAAGCTTGTCATAAGTGAAATTTAAATCCCTGCTGAAAAATGGAGACACGTGATATTCCGAACCCTGGAATAGAACTCATGTCTTTTGTGTCAAGTGGGGAAGAGTCAAGCCACTATTATGCTACTTACATCAATAATGTACATCATTTGTAGGTGAAGAGAAAGGAACAAGTAATAACGATCTACTTACTAACGATACAAATTCAAAGCTTAATAAATTCTGCATAATCTGATTTTGACACATTAAAAATACATTAATATTTAAAGTCACCCAAACATAGAGGCGTGTTCGAGGAGCCGTGAGTCCTACGTCTTCGTAGCAGTGAAGGGGGTGAGAAAATATCTTACTGCGCCAGGATCTCGTTCAGTTACGTCAAAGAAACAACAGTCATGCCCTGACCGTTCACAAGAAAGAAAAAACCGTTTTGAACACTTTTCAGAGCTCTAATTCAGATGTGCTCAAATCTTCCCCATTTCCACAGAGTATTTCCACTCGAATGCTCGCAAATTTTATTTGGAGGAAAGGAAAAATAAGCGTTAGAATTCTAGCTTCTTGCTACGAAAAAAGTGACAGAATAAAAAGTTCAGAACGCTATCTAGCGGTTCGCATGAAAACAGAAAGGCTCATTATAGTGTTTTCAGAGGCAGGAGGAAGCGTAATCAGTCTGTGTCTGTCACCTTTCTCTCGGCGACTGTTTTGTCGGCAGATGTTTGCGCCACAGAGTAAAGGTCCGTATCCGCCGGTTTAATGAGCTGCTGAAGACCAGACACTCGGCAAAGTAGGCGGTTCAGTGATGAATCGGCCCCGGTCAAGAAATCCGGAGAAAGAGCAGGCTGGAAGGAAAAGTTTAGATTCTGTGAAGATTTTCTTATTCTATACGGTTTGATATTTAAAAGGAAAACAACAACGTATGTATCCTCTCAAGGAGAGTACCTTTTCACAGATATACATTTTAATAACTCTGACACCAGGCGACCCCCACCTCCTCCAGTCGCAAATATCTCGATGCCTGTTCACGGTAATTAAGATTTTTTCTCTGAAAGATAGACAATTAAACAAACTTTATTATAATACCAATAACTTCACATGCATAAAAAATTGATGAGCGCCTGGTTCCACTGCGCTGATACACGTATGATAACACATGAAACTAGTTTCCTTCGTGCACTTTTCCTTTTTATTACACGCATATATGTTATGACGTATTACTTTTTACGCTTTTGTTCGTCTTTTGTTGCTCTTTTCACATATTTAAGTGTGACTAAAATACCTTTACAAGTTTTTTCAGAAGGGGGAAGGGGATCTTTTAGTGTTTATAAAGATTCAAGAGAGAGTCGGTAAAAATATTTTAGGAAGAATGAAATGTATGGGAGAGAGAAAACCGGACAAGGGAAACACACAAAAATTTATTTTGTCTCTCATAATCGGCCTCTGCCTCTCATCCTGGATATACACTGACACAAACACATCCACACAAGCATATTACAGGTACGATTGGGACAGTGAGTGTATACCCCCCTCAAAGGTAATCAGAAAACGTTCTTTTTTATATAAATGTTGTTAACAAACATAATTTCATGTTTCAAAATAAGTTTAATATATTTCCAAACTTCAATAAATCCAGAGGAAAAGAGCATCTTACCCACTTGTATCCCAAGATTCTCTGGAGGCAGATGGTGGAGAAAAACTCGTTTGTGAGTGACGTTTCGTACAGTTTCCGAACGTGGCTGCGGGTCATGAAGCGACGTAAGGGGAAGCCCATGCGCAGAAATAACTCCACGAAAGCCTCACGGTCTGCCAACATGAGGGCCTCCACGAAAATGTCGTCCCTCACCTGGAGCAGATTGTTCGAGCAGACCTTACGTGTGATGGCTATAGACTGGGGGCCTGGGTCAAAGAGCTGAACTTTTGTGACTTTCTCTTATACCTGGTTTAATTGTTATTAATTCCGTATCGCTGCGGGAAGTAGAGACAATTATGGGTGTTTCGACATTGGTGTTTTGTCCTTCAGTCGTTATTTCTGGGCATATTTATTTTTGCGTGACTGGTGGGATCTATTACTTTGTCTTGTCAGGAAATACAGACACTTCAGTGAAGCTTCATAATATTTATTTCAGACTTTGAAAAAGGTGCGTCCTAGTAAGACGTCAAATTAATCAGACATGTCGTGTGAACGGTGGACAACAATATAAGCTAACCGCTGTCCAAAAGTTTAAAAAACTCGATTTAAGAACCATTTAAAGTTTCAATAACGGCCATTTATTCTGGCAACGTGTAAGAAACACAGAGTAAAGCAGAGGGAAATAAACAAAATAATGCCAACGAGCAGAGGCGCCCTCCAACTATCAATAAAAATTCAGTTCAATAGAATTAGACAAAATTATTACTGTCTGAAAGTCTCATACCTTCTTGAACGAGGAAAACGATAGGTCTATTAGACGTTTAAGCCAAATAGGCAAACACTCTTTAAATATAGCCCATTTCCCATAATCAGTAACCCTGCACATGGAAAATCTTGACAACATGCATGATCTGTTCAAAGTACAATATGGTTTCATCGTTTTTTCCTTCGTAATTCGTGAATGTGGTATTGCGGCGTTTGTGTGTATTTCAAAACATTGTACAAACGAACTCTAATATAATTTTTTTTAGGCAGGAGCATGGCTGGTCTGTTATTTAGAGAAAAGAAAGAAGAAAAGAAAGAAGGAAGGAAAGAAAACGGAGGCGGCATAATGAAGTGAATGTCACATGTAATGTTCCTTCGATGTTTGATCTTCATGAGAGGTGCTTTACAGGTTGTACTGACTGTTTGCCTGCTATAACCGTCTTTGGAGATTTGGGGAGGGGGTTGCAGAAATCCCCCCTGAATAGTCAGATGTTTACACTAGCAACAGTGCATAATCTCCTTTCGAGGGGAGTATGTTTATCGATAAATATGCCCTTTGGACATTTTCGGGAAACAGAGGGAGAACACTGTGCATCCTACCCGTACCACAATTTTTAAGCAAATACATCCACCTTTCCCCCCTCCCCCCATTTTGCCCCTTTCCAACCCCATCTACCCCCCCCCCCCTCCAGGCCAGGAGCCAGTCATAAAAAATGGACACAAGAAGGTTTATGTTTTCCCAACCTGCTCCTGCCTCCCCTGGTTCCAAGATTGCAGGACGAGGATGATGAAAACTCTAAATTTTAAAAGACTATTTTTTGGTTGAATGGTGTGGAGATAAAGAACACTGAAATCAATGTACTGAAGACTAAAAGAGTAACCTAGAATGAATTTTTATTCGAATATAAGTTACGCTTTTACGAGGAATAGCAGCTACTTAAATTACTGACAATCAATTGACTCTGGCCGTTAACTCCAGCCTGCTGTAGAAAATATTCAGCGTATTCAGTTCGGTAAGGGCATAATCTGAATAATTCCTCCTAATGCGCCAGGCTTGTTAGAATCACAATCAGCCAATTTGCTCAAAAGTAGCCTTTTTTGTGGAGCTGGGGCTGGACGTTTTTGTTTACCATCAATTGCAAATATCTCCACTTCTACTCAAGATAGATGGGTATCTTTTTCAATAAAAGCAAGACAAATGAACAAACTTTAAGATGATATCAATAACTTCGCATGCCCAAGAAACTGACAAGTGCCTGATTCCACGGCGTTGTGACACGTATTATCTTAGATTGTGTACTACAATGATGGGCGATTCCATGAGCAGGTTATTTTCTCCTTCACATGAGACAAAAACGGAGGAAGGATTGAGTGGTTCTCCAGACAGTTTTGGCACCCTCGTTTCTCATAAATCGACCACAAATATTCAGTTTATTCAACTCAGCGATATGGGCTTCCTATCAATCGGCATAATTCCGGCTTACACGAAGCTCGTTTAGACTATAGTTCTCCTGCACCTTATTTAGTTTTAGTAAAAGTTTTACGGCATTTGCAACACAATAATATCATATGAGTGCCGACGATTAGAGATATTAGAAGACAGTAACAAATGCAAGAAAAGAAGGAGGATAGATGTTTGATAGGATAGAAGGAGGAAACCACACCAGAGCACCCGCCAACCACCCACTGCACCAAGCAAAATGGGGAGAATTTCTTTAGAGAAAAATATCCTGTGGGGACTTTGGTTCGTTTTATTTGCGGCTCAAGATAAACACGTAATATCTAAAGAAATTTTCTGATCGGTAAAAATATTTCTTGAGTCCGTTTATTATGCTTTTTATAGTGTTTTCGTTGTTTGTTTGTTTTTGTTTTGCTTGTTTTTGTTTTGTTTTACTTGTTTGTTTTAAAAAGGATTTAGATCTAGGCTTCTATTTCTATCAGCTCGAAGATCCATAGGCTCTTCAAACAACATATCATTTAGACTTAACTAAGGCCCATTTTCATTTATTGTTGATTAGTGTTAACATTTGACTGGGCGCTAATTATGTTCCTACCAGTTGAATAACGGTGTGGATGTTTCCAGTGCTGGATCTAAGTATCTATTTATCTGTCTGTCTTTCTGTTTGTCTACTTGTTAATCTGTCTGTCTATATGTCTGTCTGTCTGTCTGTCTGTCTGTCTCTCTTTCTATACAGGAGGAAGGAACTGTGTGGCCGATTCGCTGTGTCACAGGGTGAATATTACGCTTTTCTATATAGATTAAACGGTAGACATTCAGGCTTTGGTGTCGTATTAAGGAGTTGTCCATGAATGCTATTTGCAAACACAACAGTTTCAATATGGCTTGACCTGTATACCGGAACAGGGTATTAATCCTAAGGAGTGAATAACATTTTTATTACCAGTTTAGTGTTTTAATGGGGAAAAAACATACGCGAACAAAAACACAACGGGTAGTGGGCGGATGAACTTGTGTGGTTTGCCCTTTCTTTCTTATCAAACTTCTATCGGCATGATCTCTCTTCTATTTAACGTTTGCCATTCTCATGTAACACCTCACTCTTCGGCGCTTATATGAACTTTTTACCCTGTCTCTTTCATAGCGACAAATAGCATCAGGACCCCCCCCCCCACCCCCTGCCCACACACACACGCACATGTTTTACCCATGTTCCAAAAATAGATTAAAACCGTCTTCCTTGCACGATGCTTTCGTCCTATAAAAGCCAGTTCCACGTATCAAGATTTTAGTGAATTTTTCAGGAGGAACGAAAAACTGATTAATGAAGGTATGTATGAATGATCAACACACCGGAAACGGTCAAGCCCGAAAAGCGTATCATTGTGATACGTGATTTAGGAATTCTTGGCTTTACTGTCTGTTCCGTAGTAATTCTTGTTTCTTCATCCAAGTTGTAACAATAGAGAGCTATGATAAGTGAAACACTTATTAAAATTTGCTTTTTATAGCGATTTTCAGGCGGGGAACTCAATGGAAACCGGTAAAGAAATGAAGCCCATGACACCACTTTCGATTGGTGAAAACAAAATTTCGCGTCAAAATGATAATACTCTGATCTGGCTCTTATATGACGATTTCATAAAACGCACATGTGATCTCACTGAGAGGGAACCCCAAATGTGCGCGTGAGGTCAAGGAAGTTATCAGTGGAGGGCTTGAGTTTATTTTTACTGACACCTTTACTCTAAACAGGTCGCTACCACAAAATTGCAAAGTTCTCTCTGAAATGTTGGGGTGTTTTGAGTTTCTAAGACCACGAGGCCAGAACCAAATAGTCTATCTTCTCCATCAAATCGTAAGATTAGTCCTAGTCGTTATCAAGATATCCAAGAATTGCATTCAAAAAAGCTTTACATGTTGTGAAACTGATTTACTTACGTCAAATTTCTCCAAACTAGGTACTGAGCAGATAAAACTTTGTAATTCTGAGGTAGAAAGGTTATATAGGCGTCGGTGGCCTAGTGGTTAGGCTCTCGGACTCACAACCGTAAGGTCGTGGGTTCGAATCCCGTCAGGGGCCTGATGTTGTGTCCTTGGTAAAGGCACTTAGCACAGATTTTCCTCACTTCACCCAAGTGGAATTGGGGACCCGGCTATAGACAGTGAACGATCTTGTCAGTTTGATAGTGTTTGAGCGCGTGAAATCTGCAGCTTGCACTGTATGCTTCCGCGGAAGCCGAGAATGTTTCTGCGTGTTCTCAGAGGGTCTGCTGGGGTAATAATAATTGTAAAGCGCATAGAGCATGCTCTTGAGCATGGATATGCGCTATATAAATCCAATTATTATTATTATTATTATTATTATTATTATTATTATTATTATTATTATTATTATTATTATTATTATTATTATGTGTGAGTGATACATGACAAGGGATGAAAGCATATTGTTAGAGTCAGTTGTCGTTGGGCCAGCAGTCTATCCCGCCAGTCTATATATTTTATCCCGCCTGCCTGATCAACACGGATCCCCTGTCTTGATACAAATGAAAAGTTAAAAATCGTTAACGTATTGAACCTACTCGAAAAGTGGAGAGTTTCAACCTACTCGAAAAGTGGAGAGTTTCATCTGGTTGAGAATCCGAGACGACGCGACGTCGGGCCTGTTCCAGTCGAGGGCTAGTCTGAGGCTTCTGTTAATCTTCTCCTTAAATTGATAGTTTCTGCACTCTCCTTGTGCTGAGAGAGAGAAAGAGAGAGAGAGAGAGAGAGAGAGAGAGAGAGAGAGAGAGAGAGAGAGAGAGAGAAAGAGAGAGAAAAAGAACAACGCAATGAGTACATCAGCAATGACAGCTCCTCGTTCATTTGCAACAGACAAAATTAAAGAACATAGTGGTCGATTTGCTGTGTTATCAAGTAAATATTGCGGTTTTCCTAAGAGATAAAAAGGGTAAAAATTCAGGTTTTAGTTTCATATAGAAAGGTTTATGTCCCTGAATGCATTTTTTCAGTATAGCTCAACCTGGGTGCTTGAACACAGTAGCAATCACAAAGAATGGATTAAGCCTTGTGGCCACGTTTGAGGATTATTCTTTAGGATATTATCATTTTGTTGTCCACTTTGCCCTCTGTTCTCAGACTTCTTTTCTCTCAATCTATCTCTTAATCTATCTATCTATCTGTCTATCTGTCTATCTATCTATCTATCTATCTATCTATCTATCTATCTATCTATCTATCTATCTATTTATCTATCTATCTATCTGTCTATCTATCTATCTATCTATCTATCTATTTATCTATCTATCTATCTATCTGCTAACCTATCTACTTGTCTGTCTGTCTATTCTCCCTTGATTTGAACACCATAAGAGTAACACATTGGAAAATAAATATAGAATCTAGAGAGTGTCAACATAACTTTGCTTCTTACAGCCGCTAACTCAGTTGATATTCCGCTTGTCGAAAATGCAGGCGATCCGAGTTTGCGTTCTTTGAGTATTAGTACGGTACCTACAAACCCAAGCCTACCTCACTTTCATTAGAGCATGTACGTGCAATGGTTTGAATTGTTCTTTTTAATCAATTTAA